GCATAAATGAGCATCAGGTCATGAGCCGGCGTGTACCCAGGAGGTCCAGGTCAGACATCAGCCTCCATCTGCTGCAGCGACACAGCAGGAAGTAAGGATCATCTATACATACCTATGATCATCCTCCACCCCCCAAACACACCACGCTCAGAAGCTCCAGCTGCACAAACATGGAAGCTGTCCGGCGCTCTGTAAGGTGCTGGTTTGGTGCCAGATGTGTGGAGTCTGACACGGCGACAGGAACCGCCGGGGCATTCAGGGCGAGAGACCCTGACTGACTAACAGGGAGAGAGAGAAAGTCAGTGTTTGTGGAGCGAGCCGGTCAGAGGGCCCGGTTCACAGCTTAGGACACCATCTTTGATGTGTGTGTGTGTGTGTGTGTGTGTGTGTGTGTGTGTGTGTGTGTGTGTGTGTGTGTGTGGCAGGCATGAATCACCGCACATCCTCTGAGGTGTCAGAGGTCTGACTCTGGAAAATGTCAGATACATGAAAACACACACGAAGCCTTCAAGATGAAGAGGAGGGAAAAGTGTGTGTGTGTGTGTGTGCTGGTGTAACTATCATCGTCAGGACCTCAGAGAACAGCTCTGAGTTTCTTTGGTGGATCTTTAAGAGGCTGTTCGAGGGTCCAGGTCTGAGCCGGGTCCAGGTCTGATCAGGATCAGGCTGAGCTCAGTTCGCTCGGTGAGAACACGACAGAGTAAAGTCATCCGGCTCAGAGTGTGCCGATATAAACGACCTTCAGCGGGTCCCAAACTGGTTTTGTGTTTCCTGTTTGGCCGCTCTGCTCAGCCCGTGTCCTTCTTCACCTCTCTGATCCTACCTGTCATCAGGGTGACATCATCACCTTCCTCTTCTCTGATTGGTGAGTAAGCTGTTAAGAGAAAATAATCACATCAGGGAAAAATGCTGCTGCAGTTTTCCCACCTACACAAACACAAAGCAGACACACCCGGACATCTGCATGACACACTCACACCACACACACACACCACCCACCCCACCACACCACACACACACACACATAATAAGTATGATGGAGAAATCCCCTCTGTGTGTGTGTGTGTGTGTGTGTGTGTGTGTGTGTGTGTGTGTGTGTGTGTGTGTGTGTGTGTGTGTGTGTGTGAGTGGAATGCAGCCTGTAAATAAACTGTAAGCCACACACTCATACTGACATTCCCGCCTCTGCTGCACATTACAGCTAATGGGCTAATGTTAGCATGTTAGCATCATCACTGTCAGTCAGGCCTGTGGGAGGCCCCTGCAGAGCCTTTGGTTCCACCTTTAAAAACCAGTGAAACCATCAAGAACTCATCTGCTCGTCTTAAACTGAGCAACAGTTAACCTTCAGAAACGTTCGACCCTCAAACAAAATGTTGTCCTTTAGAAACACCTTTCTTTGGCTAACAATATAAAAATACAGAATCGAATCATCACCAGTGATGAATTCACCGCCAACAATCTCATAAAATCTTTTTCTTATTCTTTGAAATCAAGAATTCAGAACTGACGAACTGTGAAACCAACACAGGACGAATGAAATGAAAGCTCTCATCATTCGGTCCCTCCAAACCAGCCCTTTAACGCCCCTTTAGATCGTCTTTAATCCTTTGTTGGACTACCTGGCTCATCCTTCAACAGTCAAAACATTAGGAATGCTTTCTGGAACCCCATTGGATAATCTCAAAGCCCCACCTGAGCTTTGGCTCACCTTTACAAACTCTCATTATTATCTGTACTCATGAAAAATTCTAGAACTCATTAAAAACCCTTTAATATGTAACCAAGTCACCGCTTTAAACTGTCCACGGTTCTATTAGAAGATTATAAACTCAAACTGTACAAATGACATAAAAATCCTGAGAGATTCACATCCCTCTTTGAATGCTGAGGTGACAGAGGTGGGCATGAAAATCCCTGTGAATAACGAGACAGCAGGACCGACAAAGACCTGAAACAGGAAACGAAGAAGAAGAGTGATGAAGACGTGAGGCTGCTCTGAGGTCACGGTGCTGAGAGCTGACGTCCACTAGATGGAGCAGTTCCATCTGCATTCGGGGTGACGGAGCACCAGCCTCCGCTCACCTGCCCATCACGTCCTCGCCACACAGAAACACACCAGGAGCTCATTTAGAGTGAGTCAGAGTTCAAAGGTCAGCAAAGATCAAACCAGCAGCCTGGACACGTCTGTCGTGGCGTGTTCACCCTGAACACGTCGGCTTCCCGCAGCAGAATGAAATCAGGGTCTGTGTGAGGATGATGGCGGCTTCATCGTCAGAGGGCATTCCCCCAAACTCAGACACGCTTCATAACTCTGAATGACTCTGAACAGATGAGGTCATGCGATGGTCGGCAGATGACATCACTCCCTCATACTTTTCCAGCTGCTGTGGTTGTTTTGGTTGCTGTTTTTCGTGCCCGGGGGCGAGGTGTATCAGCGTGCTGCTGGCGGTGCGGCAGGTTCGTGACTCACAGCTGGTTGGAGTTATTTAAAGAAGCAGCGGCGCAGACACGTCCGTGCACGCTCCACACGCTGCAGAGGCTTTGTTAGGCCGCTCGGCGAGCACTGAGCTCACACAGGCATGAGCTGGACGGCCTTTACAAAAACATGAACACATCGACTCACACTTACCCCCGCAGTGATGATGTCACAGCAGCGCGGGGAGAATCCCAGACATCTGATTAGCTTCGGTGTGTAACGCCGTGTCGTCCCTGCTTCCTCTACAGTCACAGCTGACTCTGCTCTCTGGTTTCTGCAGCCACGAGGTGGAGGGAAGGGGGTGCAGAGGTGGTGTAATGGGAAATAGCTACAGCACAACTCCTGCTGTTGAGTTCTGATTGTTACACTGGTGTTAATACATCTTTAAAACTACTCAGATCCCTTTGGTTCACCTGTTAAACCAAAGCGTCCATGTTAGGGACTTCCTGTCCGCCCTGCGGAAACCTTCCTGCCCTGTCACAGTCTTTAGCTTCTCAGGGTTAAAGTTAGGTTTTATTTCAGCCACACGCTAAAAACTGCAAAGTTTCAGGAGCTTCGGGATATTTTGGCATTAAAGACTTTTGGATGAGAGAGATTAACTGAACCTAAACCATCCATCAACTGCTCATCAGCTGGAGCCCATTACAGCTGCCGCGGGGCATGAAGGGCACACCCTGGACCTCTATCACAACAGTTTAAGAACTCTAAACCACCAAAACACAACCAGCTCTCAGGAAACCGGCCCAGGGTTGTGTCTCGGTGACATGAACCAAACCCAGGCCTTTGGTAGATGAGGCGAGATCTGACTGAAGACTTTAAAAAGGTTCTTCAGTTAATGTGAGCTCGTCATTGTTTGCTCTCCTGATGCCGCTCAGAGCTTTGATGTCTCAGTGAAAGAAACGTGATGACAAACTGTGCTGATCACCATCCTGTTTGTGCTGTTTCCAAGTAAGACACAGTGATGATGATGATGATGATGATGATGACGCAAACAGTTTGTCAAGCAAACCAGCAGCTTCATGGGAACATGTACTAAACCTGGAACTGGTTAGGATGGATCTGGGAAGGAAAGGAAAGGAAAGGAAGCAAACATGAGAATTCGTCAGTTTCTGCTATTGGCAGCTCGAGCATCGGCACCAGCCTTTAAATAGACCTTAATAACCTGAACCTGCTCAGACCTTTGAAACACGTGGCACTAATCCTCTACCCCACCCCTTTAATTTCTCCCAAAATGACTTTGAAACCTTCCATTGAGAGGGGATCCTCCAAATGTCATGTCTAATCCCTCTGTGGCACTGCAGAGAAACCCCCAAACCTCTCAGTGATCTTTGGGACTCTCTTGTTAAAATCTAACAGCTAGAATCCCCCGAGATTAGAGCCCTGTTACGTTTGTGCTGGACTGGCACCATACCCAGTTGAAAACCCTTCTTTATTTTCTGAGGCGACTGAAATTAAATCTGAGACTCGTTTGCTCCTGAAACTCGGCTACAAATCAACAGCTTTTTCAAATCCCTGGTGAAAGGTCCAGCAGGACCGTCCAAGAACCTATTAGCTGCTATCAAAATCACATCAGAAACTCAGGTTTATGCTAGAACGCGGGACACAGCATCTTGGGGGCGATCGTGGCTCATGAGTTGGGAGTTCGCCCTGTAATTGGAAGGTTGCCGGTTCGAGCCCCGGCTTGGTCAGTCTCGGTTGTTGTGTCCTTGGGTAAGACACTTCACCCGTTGCCTACTGCCAGTGTCCGGCAGCCAGGGTGGCTGTGGCTACAATGAACCCTGGGGTTCCTGAAGAAACCGTTTAGATAGAAACCATGAAACACGTTGGTGGTTATTTCTCTGTGACGGCGTCCTCAGATCACCTCCATCACAGCAGCAGAATCAGAGACTGCTTTCATCCGTGTCCTTCAAACTTTCCACTTTGGGTTTGTCAGCGTCCCCCCCCCCCCCACCCCCCCATCCCACCCGCTGACTGAAACTTTAGGTTTGTTCGTTTTTCTTCATCACTGAGGCTCTTCTGTCACGCCTGCAGACCTCCACCACTGTCAGCCGATGGCGGGGCACGTGAAGCCCACCGCCTCTTGGTTACTGTGCCCGTATCTGTGCCTTGAGGGTAAAGGAATCCCCGCCGCTTTGCCCGCCGCGGGACGAGACGGCACAGTCATGAACCGTGATGCCATGTTGACTGTAGCTGTAGAGTGTCAGACAGACTGATAGACAGTCAAACGGGTAACAGATGGACAGGAGTCATAGCACAAACCCACTTCATCCAAGAATTTTCCCCTCGACATGCAACTCATTCACAGCCGACCGTGGGAGGAGGGGAGGGAGGGAGGGATAAAGGAATACCAGCTTTGCTCCATTAACAGCCAAACAGAGGGAGGGAGGGAGGAGGGAGGAGGGAGAAGGTAAAAGTTAGAGTGGTATGAGTCACAGAGGAGGATGGGAGGAGACTGGAGTGAAGGAGAGAGAGGGAGGGAAGGAGGGAGATATAATTATGGTGGGAGGCTGCCAGGGCGAGCGAGAGGAGAGAGAAGCAGAGGGAGGGAAAGAAAGACGAGCGAGAGAGAGAGTCCAGCCCACTCCGCTAAAACCATTCAACTGGTGAGCGAGGGAAGGCATTCACCACAGAGAGAGAGAGAACGAGGTAAAGCAGAGCGAGGAACTCCCGTCTTAACTTAGTCCAACTGCCTCTCTGACACACACAGACGCACACAGACGCACACAGACACACACAGACGCACACAGACACACACTCTGTGCGGCGACTTCACCCCGGGAACCAGGATCCTCCTGCAGACTTCATCATCCATTCATCACATCTGAGACTTTTTCTCCTTTTTCTTGTTTTCTTGTTTTTCTTTCTTTCTTTCTTGTGACGCCTCCACATTTTTCAGCCATCTGTCCCTGACAAAAAAGACACGGATTACTCATTTTCTCTGCCGGCGTTGTGTGTTTTTCTCTTTTTTGTGTCTGGTTTCTTTACAGCTTTTTTTCCTCCGTTTCACAGGTGGACTGTGAGCTGAGCTCAACTTTGCAGCTTCCAAACTTCTGAGAGAGAACGTGAGAGAGCGAGCAGAGGAGGAGGAAGGTGAATCTCAAACACTCTTCTTCTTCATCCAGGACTCAGTTTTTCTTCACTTTTCTACCAAACTCGACTCTTCTTCGTCTCCTCGGCTGTGTTTGAGCACCCGGCAGCATCACTGAATCTCCTGCCGTCATGTCGCTGTTGCCCTTGCTCAGCTGGACCCTCCTGCTCCTGGTCCAGGTGCAGAGCAGCGTTTCCGCCTCGGACCCGGCGGGGCCCGGGCTCCAGCCGCTTTCCCTGACCGTCCACCCTCACCACCAGCCAGACGCCGACTCCCACTGCCCCTCCTGCGCCCTGGCCAGGATGCGGAGGAACGAAGGGGTCACAGCGGGGGATGGCATGGCGAGGGGGCACGAGCAAGATGAAGATGAGGCGGCTCAGCAAGACGTGGTGGAGGCGGTGAAGAGGCACATCCTCAACATGCTGCACCTCCAGGCCCGACCCAACATCACCCGGCCCGTGCCGCGCGCCGCGCTCCTCAACGCCCTGCGCAAGCTCCACGTGGGGCGAGTGGCGGAGGACGGCAGCGTGCAGATCGAGGGGGAGGAGGAGGTGAGAGGGAGGGGAAGCCGAGGAAGAGGAGGAGGGGCAGCAGCACCATCGGTGGCGGGAGACGGCGGCGATGTTCAGGAGACGACGGAGATCATCACCTTCGCCGAGCCCGGTGAGTGTGACATCAACACGAGACAGGAAGTGTGTGTGTGTGTGTGTGTGTGTGTGTGTGTGTGTGTCCACCTGCTTAATTCCACCTGCGTACTCACTCAGTCAAACACCTCCACTCCCCTCCAACACACACACACACACTCACACACTCTCACACACACACACACACACACACAGGCAGTGACACACGAAGCTCTGACTGTAAGTACATAATGAGGTATTCTCTGACAACAGCAGGAGGTGATTACAGAGAGAGTGTGTGTGTGTGTGTGTGTGTGCATGCGTGTGTGTGTGCGTGTGTGTGTGTGTGAGTGTGCATGCGTGTGTGTGTGTGCGTGTGTGTGTGTGTGTGTGTGTGAGTGTGAGTGTGCGTGCACCTCTTAAAGTGGTAACAGGGCTGTAATGAGTTTCTGACAGACAGTAGCAACAAAGAGCAGGAGACAGTGTGTGTGCATGGGGGGGGGGATCAGGTGTTAACTGCGTTCTTCCTCTGCGCGTCACCTTTGACCTTCAGACCTGCTGCAGGTCCCGCTTCGCCTGCTCTCGTCGCGGCGCTCGCTGGCGTCTCCAGGTTTCGGGGAAAGCCTGGTGACTCCAGTGTTCTTCCTGCTTCCTGTGTGTTTCCGTGTTTCCAGGTTGATTCTGGTCACTCTGAACTCTCTTAGGTCGGCCACGGAGGTGGGGTTTATAGATGTAGAAGCAAATCTGAAGCCCTCGATCGGCTCACCTGTCAGTCGAGCGGTGTGGGCGGGACTGTGACGTGTTCTTCCTCCTCTGGAGTTTCTGTAGGCGAGAGTCTGGAACAGCAGATGGAAAAGAATTTTATGAAGTGGATCTGTGCAAACAGGCAGAGAGGAGCAGCTTTTATTGAAAGGAAAACACGGAGTTTGATCTCGTTCGTAGAGTTTGAAACAGCCAATCACGATCAGCTGTCAGACAGCTCCACGTCGCCGGCGTTTCAATAAAATCAACCGGCCGAAACCTTTGCTGTGCTCAGAGTCTCAGGAAGACGCCGCCTGCAGCACGCTTAACCCTCATTATGCATTACAGCCACATTTCAGAGCTCTGTGCGCCATGATTCTCCTCAGGCTCAGATTTATGGCCCCTCGGCCGTCGCTACGCTCCTGCTGGCAGCGACTGAAGGCAGCGTTCAAGGCAAATCAACGGCCTTGCTGAAATCTCACAGCACTGAGGACGCTAATTCAGATTACAGGCAGAAAACAGAAAACGCTCAGTGTGAACTTCATTCACAAAAGAAATCACCCCACAAACCGGCCGGGCGTCCATTTAAAGTAAGAGCAGTTTTCCCTTCATGCTCTGAATCATTAAATGTACCTCAGCAGTCTGCTCTTAATATTTTAGCACCAGTTTGCAGCCACGTTAGCACATGTGTCAGCCAGCAGGGGGCAGAATGACTGCATAAGCTCTCTTTGTTTGTTTGCATCCATTGAATGAATCAAAGTTAGTGTCTGCTGGTTTCTTACCTGTGTGCTGCTGGAAACACTGAGCCGATGCAGTGACGCTGGCTTCTACACGTATACTGATTTTCTGTTTTACACTCACACATCTTTATTCTGCACGAGTCATACTGAAGTCGTGTTTCAGTGCTACAGAGTGAAGCTGTGGAAGTGCCTGCAAATGTGCATTCTTCAGATTTACATTTTCTTTACCTCTTCATGTCAGACAGAGAATATTTCCAGTTAAATAAAAGCTCACAGCTCTCACCATGCCGGCGTGTCGAGCACTTTCAGTACTGTTTGGGTTCTCAGTCGTCCAGGTCATCGTAGTCTAAGGAGCTTGGAAAGAAAAGCGTCTGGACTTCTTTAAGTTGCTTGAAGACGTTTCACCTCTCATCCGAGAAGCTTCTTCAGTTCTAGGGTCACATGGTGGGGAGTCCCAGATTTAAGCCCTGTGGGAGTTTCCCCCCACAGAGGGACAAAAGGACCCCCTGATGATCCTCTACCTAATCACCTGCTTGGGTTTTCTTGACTTTAATAGTGAAGTTAGAACGGTGCGATACCCTCCGCCCTGATGTGGCGGCGCTGTGGCTCAAGTTTGACGTTTTAGCTTTTTACTTGGTAAAGTTCAGAGTTTGGATCAAAACAAAGCAGGAGACCCGCCCATCCATCCACCCCCACCTCCACCCCCTCTGTGATAGCACTGGTTCTTCCATCGTTATTTTCCCACAGACACTGTGGGTGTGTGTTTTGCACAGGAAGTCTCAGAACTTTGTGCCATTACCATATTGGCCCAAACAAAGGATGAGGCTTATCATACGATGAAATGTGCCCGGTTTTCCAACCGGTTTTAGCGGTCGCTGAGCAGTTTGGGTGAAACTCGAGTCTGTGGAGCCACCACCAGTGAAAACACTCCCAGAATTCACTTTGGGAACATGTACATGTTAAATAAAACAGCCGGCATCATGGTTGACTCCAGTTCGTCCAGTACCAGTCCTTGGATGACTGTTCCAGTCTTGTGTGTGCAACCTTATTTTAAGCCTCGAGGACACCGTCAGCAGACACTTCCCCCTGATCTGATAAACCCTTGTTGTTTTTCTAAGATGTTACTTGATCCGCCATGAGAATACTTTTCACCCTGCCAGTCTTGTGCTTTGTCAGGACTAAGTGAGGCATTCAGGGACCTCGGTAATTATTTTGGGCGACGGAGATGGCAAGCAGAGAAGCAGAGGGACAACTGGATTCTTGGCGGAGACCAAGTGTCAACCTCCGTTTAGCAGCTCAGACACAATATCCATCTGTCCGGCCTTGTCCTTCCATAAGCCCGCTCTGTTTGTCTTCCCCCCTCTTCTCCCCACACACAGAGGACAATTAGGCTAATTGAACTTAATTGAACACATCATTAGCGACATTCCTCAATCCACTTTCGCCTCCCCCTCTCGCTCTCTGCTGCCCCCTCTAACCTCCATCTAGCCTTCGCCACTGTGGCAGACAGAATAAACCGGTCATTGTTGGTCTATTCTGGTGGCCGCCTCTGTCTGGGGATTCAAACTAGCATCCGTGAGATGAGCTCAGCTTCAGGTTCAGTGACCTGCAACAACTGAGAGGAAGCAGTGAATAGAAGCGGCTGATAGGACAAAAACATCTGTAAGATATGAAAATAAACTACTTTCTCTGTTTTCCTTTCTCTCACTCCCATTTTTCTCTTCCCGCTGCTCCTCGTTTGATCTTGCTCCTTCTCTCTCATCTTTTCTTGGCAATAATTCTTTTTTTCCGTCTTCTTCTTTTTCTCTGTTTATCCATTCTTTGTGTTATTTTCAATCCATCTTTTCATCTTCTCCACCTCTGCTCCTCATCTTTCCTCTCTGTCCATCAAGATCTTAGCGTGACGCAGCTTTAGCGTGTTAACGGCGTGTTTACAGCCACAAGGCCGCCGCTGGTCTGAGGCCATTGTCGCCTCATCTTTGGCTGCTTTGATGTGTGTCTGAGATGCTGTGTGTCTGCAGAGATGCATCACTCTGTAGTAAACAGGTCCAGACTAGCCGTGCAAAGACACTCAAATGAGTGAAGAGACCCAGAAGATGCTCCAGACCCGTATCCACAATTATTGATCAGAAACCATCAACTTCCCACCATCCACAAAGCCAGCGTTGAGCTGGTGGATGGTTAGGGTGAGGACTTTTGGGACACCAACATTGAAAACCTCTCAACTGTGACACCAAAGAGGTGACACGCTCTGATCTTCAGTATCAGACTAAAGAAACTCAGCCCTGATCTCAACCATTAATCAACCATAGACCAGCTACAGACCAGCTATAGAGTAACCACAGACCAGCTATAGACCAGCTATAGAGTAACCATAGACCAGCTACAGACCAGCTATAGAGTAACCACAGACCAGCTACAGACCAGCTATAGAGTAACCATAGACCAGCTACAGACCAGCTATAGAGTAACCATAGACCAGCTACAGACCAGCTATAGAGTAACCACAGACCAGCTACAGACCAGCTACAGACCAGCTATAGACCAGATATAGAGTAACCACAGACCAGCTATAGACCAGCTATAGAGTAACCATAGACCAGCTACAGACCAGCTATAGAGTAACCATAGACCAGCTACAGACCAGCTACAGACCAGCTATAGACCAGATATAGAGTAACCACAGACCAGCTACAGACCAGCTACAGAGTAACCATAGACCAGCTACAGACCAGCTATAGACCAGCTACAGACCAGCTATAGAGTAACCATAGACCAGCTACAGACCAGCTACAGACCAGCTATAGAGTAACCATAGACCAGCTACAGACCAGCTACAGACCAGCTATAGAGTAACCATAAACCAGCTACAGACCAGCTATAGAGTAACCATAGACCAGCTACAGACCAGCTATAGAGTAACCATAGACCAGCTACAGACCAGCTACAGACCAGCTACAGAGTAACCATAGACCAGCTACAGACCAGATATAGAGTAACCATAGACCAGCTATAGACCAGATATAGAGTAACCATAGACCAGCTACAGACCAGCTACAGACCAGCTATAGAGTAACCATAGACCAGCTACAGACCAGCTACAGACCAGCTATAGAGTAACCATAGACCAGCTACAGACCAGCTACAGACCAGCTATAGAGTAATCATAGACCAGCTACAGACCAGCTACAGACCAGCTATAGAGTAACCATAGACCAGCTACAGACCAGCTATAGAGTAACCATAGACCAGCTACAGACCAGCTATAGAATAACCATAGACCAGCTACAGACCAGCTATAGAGTAACCATAGACCAGCTACAGACCAGATATAGAGTAACCATAGACCAGCTATAGACCAGATATAGAGTAACCATAGACCAGCTACAGACCAGCTACAGAGTAACCATAGACCAGCTACAGACCAGATATAGAGTAACCATAGACCAGCTATAGACCAGATATAGAGTAACCATAGACCAGCTACAGACCAGCTACAGACCAGCTATAGAGTAACCATAGACCAGCTACAGACCAGCTATAGAGTAACCATAGACCA